CTCTCGGCTTAGTTCCCACCCGATTGTGAAAAATGTGAACACGCCTGACCAGATCAATGCTATGTTTGATGCTATATCCTACAGAAAGGTTGGTGATGGTGCGTATAAAGTAGTGACATACAGTCTTCCCAAATATCTTATCAAGTCATGTTGATTGTAGGGAATGAATTAGATATGTAAATGATATAATTTCTTTTTCTTGGACTCTCTTAAAACTTAAGAATTGTGATTATGTTGAAATAATTTAAATGATATTTACTGCCAGTGACTGAAATGTGTGTTTCAGTGGTATAATACCATAACTTACATTATTGTGTATTCTCTTACCAGGGGTCGTCTGTGTTAAGGATGCTGGAGGACTTCATGGGAGATTCTTTTCAAGCAGGAATTAATGCTTTCCTCAAGAAATATGCCTATGCAAATGCTGTCACAAAAGACCTTTGGACTGAACTTACCTTATCCTGGGAAGGAAATCACCCTGAGGAAGAGAAGGTATAATTTACCCTATTTGCAGAAAATGTTCCCTTTTTTGTTTAAGGGGACCGTCCCGGAAAATGGCCACCTTTCCCTACTCTATACATCATAAAAAAATATCGGTTAGAGATAACTGATTGATTCTTTTTGCATGCTATAGAGTAAAGAATTGCGCTCCGTTATATATATAAATTTTAACTTTGCTCCCCCATTGGGGGGGGGCACCCCCCAAAAAGTTGAAAAAAATCGTTTTTTTTTGGTATGTCTTCGGTACATCCCAACTATCAGAGCTCTTTACAGAATATTCCCCCAAAAATACTAGTGTTAGATCAACTCTAGCCTATAGCCATGTAAAAGGCCGAATTTTGAATTTCCTTTTTTTTTTGGCGGGGGACAGCTTGACATAGAGAACTATTTTTGAATGCTTTTTTCAGCATTAAAATATTATTATTTTTTGATTAAGGCAAAAATTCAAAAATCGGCCTTTTACATGGCTATGGGACGCCGAGGCTCTAGTGAAAGCAACAAACTGCATTTGGATCGCATGAAAATTACGTGAGTTGGGAAGTACCGAAGATTCATAAAAAAATGGCCGAGCTACGGCGTTTTGTATTTGGCACCTTGCCAAAGTTCGTTATCTCTGTTATTTTTCTCTGAATCTAATGATATTATATAAAAAAAACGCTTATTTAGTGTACTTTGCAATGCAATGATTACCAAGTCAATAGGAATTTTCATGTTCAATAGGGACGCTATTCTGTAAAGGTATGTCACTTTTTTTTTTTTTTTTTTTTCGTTGTTCATTAAAGTTGATATTTTCGTGTGAAAAGCTTAATAAATGCATTTTACCATAGAGACAACTAATCTAAACCAGATAAAAACCTTTTTTTTTTTTTTTATTTTTTTTTTTTCCATTTTTTTTATTTTTTTTTTTTTTGAAGAAATGGGGAACTGTGGATGGCAACATTAGTACAAAATCATTCTAATTATAAAGTCCTGGCATGAATACAACATGGTGGTTCAATTTTGAGAATTTCAAAAGCATATGAATTTAGTACATTGAATTCGAGAACTTACGAAAGTCGTTGAATATTCCCCATGCCTCACACAGGGGGGGGGGGGAGATGGTCACTGGGTGTTTATAATTTTCGAGGAGGATCATATGTACGTGAACGCACGCACATAAAGTTAAAAAGATTAATCATCATCATTTAGTAGGCCTACATTGACTTTCATATCTAAATAATAAAATTTATTAGTTATCCCTCTCATACCATTTTCTTTGATAATTGTCAATATTAACAGATTGCAAGGAGAACAAGTGTAAAGTTTATGATTAGCCATTTGCACCCATTATCTTTACTAAGAAGTGCATAAAATCATGCAGACGCCTATGTGTTGTGGGATATTTGCCAATTTATGGTGCCTAAGACTTACGGTAACGTCTAAACATATTCATTTTTATCGGGAACGCACGAAACGGATGCGATAGCTTTTTGAACGCCAGACGAAGACTACGCATACAACCGAGCTCAAAATTCCATATAGTTTTTATTTCAGAGCAGGTATTACTGAGTACTATCATCTTCAACATGAAATAATCTGTATCTCGCTTATACATCCGAAGTTTAAAAATCCGACATTTAGGTAACATTCGTATTGAATTGGTCTTTACAACGGTAACTACCAATTTCAAATCAATTCAAATTGCCCCCTGCTGTGATGTACCGACCGTTGAGCGAAATGTAACGGAAATATTTCAATCCTTCCTTATAAGGCTATTTTTAAACATTAGTGCTTCGTATGTGATATACGTATATATTACCACGTAAACTAAAACATATTACCAGGGAGTCTCGATCAAAGCATATTTCGTGTGTAAAAGGACACAAAACATACATTTTTTTTTAGATATATTTCACAAAATATTTCGTCATAAATCACGGTGATATAATTTTTTCCTGATATTGGTATAAAAGTGTTCCTTGAACATTCACGAACTCATATCTATGCGCAATGTCATAATTAAATGCCTTATGCACGATTGCCGCAAGCAAAAGTCCACATAGGTGTACCTGGGCGCTCATTAGCGACGTACCTCTCCGGGTGCTGAGGGACTCGCACGCCGGCTGCAAGACAACGAGCCATAGCAGGCGGTTAATACTCGTTTGGTAGTTTCCTCATCCATGTACCTATACTATACGCTAACTATCTTAATTTAACCCCCTCCCCCCCCTCTCTCAGGGACGGTCCCCTTAAGGGAAGCTGCTCTTTTTAGTATGTTAATTGTATTTAGCCAAAATGCTTAAGAAATTACCATGGAAATTATTAGTTAGGAAGCCTAACTAGAAATTATATATTTAGAAACATATAAAAACTGATGATAAACTTTGTTGGTTGTTGCCAACAAATTTAAGGTGCCAGCTAGAAGATAAGGGTCTTAAGTGTTTGTCTCCTAAGTAGCCATACAAAATTTAATGAAAGAGAGTCCCCAGTGTCATACTAAATATGTCGGTGTGCTATACAAATGCACAATTGTTTAGCATGCACAAAGTGTAGCCTCAACTGTGCATAAAGCGAAGGTGTCCTCTTGGTGTGAGGAGCAATAGGACATGATAGGACATCATCCCAGCATGATTGGGTAAATGAACCCTTAAATATTTGTACTTCAATTTTAATTAGGTTATTATATATTTTTTCTTTCAGTTGTAGTGATAGTACCAAATTCCAATTTTGAGTAGAAGCAGTAATAGTAATAAAAAAGAAAAATAATTAACCTTTTAAACTAATCAGTTGAAATTGAAATTTCCATGCGGAATGTTGATAGAATTTCACAATTAGGGTGATGTGGGTGCCATCATGGACACTTGGACAAGACAAATGGGCTATCCTGTGGTGAATGTGGTGAGGTCAGCCCCGGACACCTTCACTCTAACGCAGGAACGCTTCCTGCAAGACCCAACAGCTGAATATGAGTAAGGCCTTTTCTTTTTTTCTTTCTTTCTTTTTCTCTTTAAGAAAAGTTTGATTACTGCAGTACCTTTTCCATTGATAATATGATATAAGATTAACTTACTAGTATAGATTGATTCAATAATTACTGGCGTCTTTGATGGAGAACAACACCTATGTAAATGTGGAAGTAAATTGACTGATTTCCACATAAAAGTTGAGGAAATATATTATTCGATGTTAGCCAGTGTGAAACCCAATATTGTCTCATCTTTTCATTCACACTATAGTATTAAACCCTATGATCTCAATGACGTAACCCTCATGTCATGAAAAATTTGGCTTCAATGGCAGGTAATATGAACATGTCACCATAGCGGAAATATAGCTGTAGTCTGGGATGATGTGATTAGACTCTTGGTATTTAGAAAGGGACTTTTGCATTATTTCCATTGATAAATAAGTGTGTAACATAGTATCTGTGAGTTATGACATGGGAGAGTGCTGGCTCTAGGGAGGATTCCATTTCCATGCTCAGCATCCTATTCCTGCCTGTCTTGAAAAGCTGCCCAGGTTGTACTACAGAAAATTGGATGTTACAGAAAAAAGACGCAAAAAACAAAATGTTAGTTATTATTATTATTATTATTATTAGTAGTAGTAGTAGTAGTAGTAGTAGTAGTATTTTTGCACTGAGTTATGGACTACCTAGAAAGATGATATGGAGTCTGTGCAAGGAAGACAGTCTATTAGTATTTGTATAAAACAAATTAAATGACAAATATAGTCATTGATAAAAAAAGAGAAAGTAACATTGCAAAGGGGAGGCATAAAGTCTTGTCACTATGTGTTTGCATGCTCCTGGCCTACAAGCCACACACCTGCCATAGCGGCTGCTCATGTAAGCCTAATACCTGTATTTTGATCCATGTGATTGCCTTGAAGCATCCAAATCCAGTGGGTTAATAACTGACCATGGCATTGCTATTTAGTGTTGTTCCTTTTGATTACCTTCTGAATATTTTTATTGCATCTGGGTTATCTATTATCACAACATATTTTTTTTATTATTTATTTTTATTTTTCCAATACCAACAGTCCATCTGAGTCAGAGTTTGGATATAGATGGGATATCCCTATTGGATACATTACTTCTCACTCTCCTCTTAAGAAGACCTGGCACTATCTGGAGCAGGAGTCAGGTATGTACATTATTGAGATGCTTTGTTTTTCTTTCTTTCATAGTTTGGATGTTTTTCTTTCTTTCATAGTTTGGATTGAGTGTTTTTTAAACTACATTATTTTATGGTCTGGTATGAAACATCGCTTATATTGATGAACTTGGTTTAATTTTATGAATGTGGAAGGAGGAGAATTTGTAATGCATTTCCTTTTTGTCTGCTGAACCTGTTTTTATACAGGTATTCCTCAGCTTATACTATAGTTCCCTTCTTTAATCTCTACAATGAAAATAACTTGAAAAAGACAATTATTCCCATAAGAAATAACTATTCCTCATCCTTCTGACCTGGCTTCATGAATCAAAATACTGGAAAATCATTGAATTCAGAGAAATAAAAATCCTTTGAATAAATGTAATGATTTATGAAATTGTAATACACAGTAATATAAGATATATGCCAAGCTCTCTTAAAAGTTAGAGAAAAGCTTGATGAATGACAGTGGAGGGGAGCTTAGCCATTCAAGGGCCTAGGGAGGGGATCCCTTAAAGGTCTATGTAAGTTCTTATACATTTCTTGGATCCCTTGTTCTGCCTTTTCCAGTGCTGCTTTTCAAAAAGAGCTATCCAAGTATGGCTCGTTTGCTGCTTTTGTTTTTCTTGTGTACTTCTACAGTGAAAACAATCTGTGACATTTCGTACAACTTTCAGATTTCTTTCCCTGTTCAGGTCAGCTTCACTGAAGATGTCAAGTACTGCATCTATAAGGGAGAAAAACTTGGAAAGCCACTTAACACTCAGTTCTTTTATGTTCTTTTTCTTTTCCTTCTTTGTAAAGTGCTTTTGCTGTGTGATGTATTGTTGTAATGAATATTAACAAGTTAAAGTGGTTCAGATCTTCAGTCCATATAGCCAGCATTTCTCCAATTATTTAATTGCATTGCTATGAAAATGACACATAAGTGTACCTGTTTGGGAACTCAGGGTTACAGTTTTTATTAACTATTGTTTGCCTAGATTTGTTGCACAGATTAGTGCATCAAGTTAAGTACTTTTGCACAGTCAAAATGGTGTATAACATTGTTTCATAGAAAGTGAGATAATTTTGCACTTTCTTTTCTACTTGCTATCTATCAAATTATGGGTGGGCCCCAATAGAAGAGAATAGAGGTCGAGGGGGAAGGGGCAAGAAGTATTTGGAATCTTGAGAACTGCTCACTGTCACATTAAATCTTAAAGCGTTTTAAGCAGGGGAACGCTTGGCAAGAATTCTTGCCAAGCGCTGTACCGTTCCCTGCTTAAAACGCTTTCCAAGGCATGCAGGACCTCTTCAGTGATGCCAGACATGTGGAAGTGTCTTTTTATAAAGTACAAATCATAACAGTCCTTGATGAGCATAGAAATATCAAAATAACACACAAAATATACATACTTGGGTTTTAAAAGCAATGTTCCCACCAACAATCTTGGAAAGAGATAACTTATGCACAAGTCGAGGGTGGAGTTTATTTCACCTGCGGTTGGTAACAGTTTGAGCGCGCAATTCAAAACAACTGACAAGCTAGCGCTGCATCAAGATGGCAGAGAAGTAAATAAATCTGCCCAAACATTCTAACAAAGTGCTATATTTTCTCCTATATTCATATATAGTGCTTCTAAGAAAATGATACACACTTCCGATTGACAGCCCTTTCATTCTGACGCGTTATCAAAACAAATGAATATCCCTGAATTAAAGTATAGGCCTACCCATTCCCATATATCCGATTTTATGAGGTTAAATATAACAAATCATCGAATATAATATCAACAGAAGAATGTTGCTAGAATTTCTCAGACTTTTTCACTTGAAATATTCTTTATTTCATAAAATAGCAGATATATTCTCGATTTAGAAAGACGAGAAGTTTAACGATAAGAGGAAAATTGTTCATCTTATAATCATTTATTATTCATAAGTAAAACTTTATTCCCATAATCATTATCTTTCGTTTTCAATTAATTTCAATTTCTTTGAATATGATTTTAAGAAAATTATAGAATCAGATACCATGAAAAAATTATTTATCTGATAAGATATTAAGCGGAGTTCCTGGCCAGCGCCCGCATTCGAAGGATAGTGACCAGTACGGTACGCGACTGACGCCGTTGCCATGGTGACGGTACACCGTTTGAGTTAGCAAGCGCAAGTCAAGCCATCTACGGAGGTCGCTTGAGAAAGCAAGCGAAATGCTTGAGTTAGCAAGAAAAACGCTTGAGATTTCAGGCAAGAACTTTCCCTGCTTAAAACGCTTTTAGTTTGGAAAGAACATTTTGACATTATTTCAAATCATTTGTATCTTAACCCACTTGCGCCGGCTGTCCCACTGGTGTGATGCTAGATTGGAGCTTGGCCAATCCGGGAACCTGTCCATGTGCTGATTTTGATACCACCCGGAAATGGTGATCATCGCCCTCCAAATGGACCGTCGCAAGTGGGTTAAAGAATAGTGAGAGCCATGAAAGGAAATTGAAAATGCTTCAAACAAGAAGACTGTATTCTCATGGGCAGACTATTATTATGCCAAGTAAATAAGAAAAATAAATCTACATATATATTTCAGTGCAAATAAAGGTAGATCCAGAAGTCAGCTGGGTTAAACTGAACATCAACCAAAAGGGCTACTACAGAGTCAATTATGAACCAGCCATGTGGGACCAGCTTGCAGACCTCTGTGCTGAGCAAGTAAGTGTGTATTAAGTAGACCATTCATGATTATAGAGTATGATGTGTAAAGTAAGAGGTAACAATACTTATCCTGATTGAAGAAATATATCTCACTATCAGTTTGTCTCTTTGCCTATCTAATATGTGTATGGACAGTGTAGCAATAAAACATGAAAATTTATGTAATGCATAGTTAGGATTAGAGTAATGAGAAAGAATTCTTTAAATTCCTTTATAAAGAAAGAAATATTTTCTTAAATTTTGTGTACTGTACAGTCAAGATGCAAAGCTAAATTTTTTTTATGTTGGATGGTCTTGTTTCTCTCTACAGGTACTGCACCCACCAGACCGTGCTAATCTCTACAATGATGCTTTGGCTCTTGCTGATGCTGAACTGCTGGATTACCCTGTGGCCTTAAACCTCACTCGCTCTCTGGCTTTTGAAACAGACTATGTGCCTTGGACTGCTGTTGTCGGTCAACTGATTGAAATGGAGAAACTGCTGCTTGAAACCATTGTCAACCAGCCATTTAGTGTAAAGTATCCATGTGTGAATTTAAAAACTATGTTAAAAGATTTGATACCATTGTAAGTGTAGTTTTTGTTTTTATGATTTTGGTTAATACTGTGTGAGATGATAATTAGAAGATACTAATTGAAGAGTCTAATGGAAGCAGATATAGTCTTGTACACCTACACCTAGATAACACATAAACATACACACATCTCTTTTATATGTACATCTCTATCTTTCTCTCTTCTTTTATTTAATTTAATTTTATTTTATTTGCTCTTCTCTTTTCTCTTCTCTTCTCTTCTCTTCTCTTCTCCTCTCTTCTCTTCTCTTCTCTCTCGTCTCTTCTCTTCACTCTTCTCTTCTCTTCTCTCTTTCTCTTCTCTTCTCTTCTCTTCTTCTCTTCTCTTCTCTTCTCTTCTCCTTTCTCTTCTCTTCTCTTTCTCTTCCTCTTCTCTTTCTTCTCTTCTTTCTCTCTCTCTCTTCTCTTCTCTCTCTTCTCTTCTCTTCTCTTCTCTTCTCTTCTCTTTCTCTTCTCTTCTCTTTCTTCTCTTCTCTTCTCTTCTTTTCTCTTCTCTCTCTTTCTCTTCTCTTCTCTTCTCTTCTCTTCTCTTCTCTTCTCTTCTCTTCTCTTCTCTTCTCTTCTCTTCTCTTCTCTTCTCTTCTCTTCTCTCTCTTTTTCCTCTTCTCTTTTTCTCTTCTCTTCTCTTCTCTTCTCTTCTCTTCTCTTCTTTCTTTCTTCTCTCTCTTTCTTTCTTCTCTTCTCTTCGCTTCTCTTCCTTTCTTCCCTTCCCTTCCCTTCCTCCCTTTCCCTTCCCTTCTTCTCCTTTCCTTTCCTTTCCTTCTTCCTTCCTTTTCCTTTCCTTTCTTTCCTTTCCTTTTCCTTTCCTTTCCTTTCTTCCTTTCCTTTCCTTTCCTTCCTTCTTTCCTTTCCTTTCCTTTCTTCTTCCCTTCCTTCTTCCCTTCCCTTCTTCCCTTCCCTTCCCTTCCCTTCCCTTCCCTTCCCCTTCCTTCCTTCCCTTCCCTCCCTTCCCTTCCCTTCCTCCCTTCCCTTCCCTTCCCTTCTTCCTTCCCTTCCCTTCCTTCCCTTCCCTTCCCTTCCCTTCCCTTCCCTTCCCTTCCCTTCCCTTCTTCCCTTCCCTTCCCTTCCTTCCCTTCCTTCTCTCTCTCTATTATATATTGTATACATTGTATATATATATATATATATATATTTATTATATATATTATATATTATTTACATTTATAACTATATGATGTATGTATGTATGTATGTATGTATGTATGTATGTATGTATGTATGTATTGTATGTATATGTATAATGTATATATGTATAGTATGTATGTATGTATGTATGTTGTATGTATGTATGTATGTATGTTATGTATATATATATATATATTATATATATAATATATATATATATTTTTTTTTTTTTTTTTTTTTATACATATATGTATTTAAAAAATAATATATTTTCATATACATGATAGGTTATCTCTTTTTTTTCTTTAAAGGACTATGTTTTAACTTTGGTGGAACCAATCTATAGTTCTCTTGGATGGGCCGATACAGGAGACCACCTCCAAAAGTATGTTTATTTTCATCACTCTACTATTACCTTTGTAATATTATCCTGTAATTAATCTTAGAAAAATGAAAGAAAGAAACATTTTGATATTTATGATAAGATATATTGAATCAAACCATACCTAGATTTGAGGTAAGTAAGAAGTCCTTTGCTTTTTGACAGGTTGTTGCGCACTGACGTGGTCAGTATTGCCTGCGCAAGTGGAAGCAAAGGCTGCCTGCAAGAAGCAGCGACAGAACTGGGATCCTGGATCAACGACAGCACTTATCCTTTGCCACTAGGGACCAAGAGACAGGTATGCGAAGGAGAGTAATTGTTAACCCAATGCCAGCAGGAAAATGGTGCGCTCCCTTTGGCAATGCTTCGTTAAATGTTTGATGTTGACATTGTTACTATTATTATTATTTTTTTTTATCATTATTTTATTATTTATTATTATTATTATTATATTATTATTATTATTTTTACTACTACTACTATTATTATTATTATTATTATTATTGTTTATTATTATTATTATTATTATTATTATTATCATTTTATTATATTATTATTATTATATTACTATTATATTGTTGTTGTTCTTCTTATTATTATTTTTTGTTTTGTTTTGTTTTGTCTTGCTTTATATATAGTAATTATTAGTATTATTGTTATGATTAACATTATTGTTATTATTATTATTATTATTAATATTATTATTATTATTATTTTTATTATTTTATTATTTTTTTATTATTATTATTATTATTTTTTATTATTATTGTTATTCTTATAGTATATATTATTATTTTATTTTATTATATTATTGTTATTATTATTATTATATTATTATATTATTATTATATTTTATTATTATTTATTATTATTACTATTATTATCATTATCATCATAATTATTGTTTTTATTATTGTTATCATTATCATCATAATTATTGTTTTTATTATTATTATTATTATTATTAATGTTGTTGTTGTTCTTGTTATTATTATTACTATTATTATTATTATTATTATTATTATTATTATTTTATTATTATTATTATATTTTTTTATTTTATTGTTATTATCACAATAATGATTATATTTTTTATTATTTTTTAATCTTGTCATTGATATTATACAATTTTACTTGCTGTGTTGATTCTGGACAGTGGACATGGCATGTGTTCAAAGATTTTGATTTATTTGACCGAGTCTAGAGCAGACTTGGCGAAAGATGCTAGCTCCAAAAACAAAGATGAAGGTAAGATTGGGAACACTCAATGTAGGAACAATGACCGGGAAAGGCAGGGAGGTAGCAGATATAATGGAAAGAAGAAAAATATCAGTGCTATGTGTGCAGGAAACAAGATGGAGATTGAATAAAGCAAGGGAGCTGGGAAGAGGTTTTAAGTTGTTCTATGGTGGATCAAATGAGCAGAGCAGAAATAGGGTAGGGATTATGTTATCGGTTGGAATGAGGGAAAATGTGATCAGTGTAAGTAGAGGGAGTGACAGAATAATATGAGTAAAAATTATTCCTCGAAGAGACAGTTAACACCGTGAGTATATGCTCCTCATGTAGGCTGTGAGGAAGAGGAGAAGGAAGATTTTTGGAGGGATTTAAGGGCAGAATTGGAGGAGGTGGAGGCAGGAGAGAGAATGATCATTAGAGGTGACCTAAATGGGCACATACACATCAACAGAGATTGGCTGGAGAGGGTACATGGGAGGGGAATGAGGGAGGAGAAAGGATAATAGATTTTGCCTTGTCCTTCGATTTAGCAATTTGTAACACTTACTTCCAGAAGAGGGAACGACAGTATATGACCTATTAAAGTGGGAATAGAGAAAGCCAAATTGACTTCAGACCTATGAGATATCATGAATTGTAAAGTAATTCATGGGGAGAGTACAGCATCACAACATAAGGTTGTTGTGATGGACTGGGAGTATGAGAGGAAAAAGAAATGGAAAAGGCAGAAAGTAGAACCTAAAATCACGTTGTGGAGATTGAAAGACGAGGAAATGAAAATAGAATTTAGAGAAAAAGTGCTTGACTTATGTAAAGGAATGGTGGGAAAATAATAGTGGAGTGATAAGAGCAGTTGGGGAAGAGGTGCTTGGCAAAACATCTGGGAAAGGCCCCCCTGAAAACAAGGAAAGTTGGTGGTGGAATGAGGAAGTGCAGGTGAATGAGAAGGAAGAGGTGAAGAAAAAGTGGGAAATATCAGGATTAGAACAAGACAAAGATAATTATAAACAAGCTAATAAGAGAGCAAAAATGCATTGGCAAGAACCAAGGCTATAGCACTGGATGAAATGTACAAAGAGTTAGAAGAAAAGGGGGAGAAAAAAATGCACTAAGGATTGCAAAGGCCAGGGATAAAGCAACCAAAGACTACACCCAGATTAGACAGGTCAAAGGTGGAGAGGGAATGGTGCTAAATGAAGAGGAAAAGATCAGGAGCCGGATTCTCAAAAGAGCCTTAAGTTAAGGTGCGCTGGAGGCCTTAACTGTCCTGGTGTATTTCCTTCATATAAGAGCGAAGAGTGTTGATTTCTCGCCCGCCGTAAAGAGCTAAAGGCTGCTCTTCCCCTGCCTTAACCTGAGGCGCCTTAACTCGCACCAATATGGCGGGTCCCTTGCTCTGTGTCTGTGTATGTAAGATCGCTCAGCCGTAAGTTAAGGCGCCTTAACCCATCCATCCCGGGTGTCACACATATGAGACACAAGGAAAAAATAAACAGTTTCGGCCTGCCCGCCAGTCCAATGCTGTCTCGGAGCCGTGCTCTGCGGCAAAGCGGCGGCGCCGGGCGAGAGCGCGACAGACTCCGGGGAAGCTCCGCCCGCCGATTTTGTAGCTTCCCGGATTTTTTTAATTTGGTCTACAAAATGTACCCCGGCGTGACTGGGTTAAGGAGATACGGAGCTTTAACGCGTTTGAGAATCTGGCCCCAGGGACAGATGGAATATCTACTTCGGATCCTTGTTGAACAAGGAAAATCCAAGAGCAGTTTTTGAGGATGGAGCTCTTGTGATATGAGTAGGCAGGAAGTCAAAGAGGCATTGACGAAGCTGAAAAATGGCAAAGCAACA